TGCCTACAGCAATTTTTTGAAGTATGTCTGTAGCCATCCTTCATCAAAGGCAGGGCCAAAAATTGTATCTCATTTGCTTCAGTTGGTGGATGATAAAGAGTCACTGGAGAACATGTCTGAAAAAGAGGATTATGGGAAACTCCATCCAGAAACTTCCCAGAGGATAGAGTTTATTAGGGGGTTGTGGCAGGTATCTCCTGAAGCTTTCTCTTCATTCATTTCAGAACATCTATTGAGCATTGCTCTAAACTTTGCTTATGAAAGCAACGCGGTGGCTGCCTGTTCTCCATTTATTTTGCAATTCCTTCGAGGGAGAACACTGGCTTTGAAAGTACTGAATTCAAAGTACTTTGGGGACCACCCAGAAAGTCTGCTATTATTGAAGAGTATTGAGCTCTCCATAAGTGGAAATAACAGGATAAGGAGAATAGATTTTCCACTCATGGAAAAAGATTTTGAAAAATTACAGCCACCAACTATAGATGAGGACTATGCATCTGCCTTTCAACCTATGAATGAATGTGAGAAAAATTTATCTGAAAAAGAAGAGATAATAAAAAACTATTCAGATATCCAACGCCAAGCCCCACCCAACATCAGTGCTGGCTACTGGAAACTGTCACCCAAGCCGTGCAAGATCCCTAGGCTGGAAGTTAGAGTGGCCAGCATGGGTCCAGCAGACCCAGCACTGCTCCGGGTCCTAATGGAAGTCTTCTCGGCATCACAGAATATCGAACTCCATTTGAAACACAGCAGTGGCTTTCTTGAAAGCATCCGCCCAGCTCTGGAGCTGAATAAGACCTCTGTCACCAAGTGCTCCATGTGCAGACTGGAGCTCAGCACAGCAGAACAGGAGCTGCTTCTCGGCCTGCCTGCCCTACAGTCTCTTGAGGTCTCAGGGACAAGCCAGTTACCAGGTATCCCCGAGGGTCACATAGCCATTCTGATTGACACTGTGTTTTCTTATTCTTAGTTTTAGATGAATGAAACTTCTCAGGCACAAGGTCATAAATGTGCCTTGACAGAAGAGAGATAAGTACTTTCACTGTTTGGGGCAGTGTGTAATTTAGTGACAGGCCCTGAATCATTAATGGATTTCACATAATTCAAACAAAATTAGCTTAACACTAATATCAGTATGTCATTGCTTGAGGGAAATCTAAGGGTATTTGAATGGTTTTTTTTATTAGTAAATGGTGGACTGTGTGTGAGACGATTCTGGAGAATCATCTGCACCCTGACTGTCTGAAGAAGGAGCAGATTTAGCTTCTCCAGAAAAGGAATTCAAAAGTGGGAACAGTAAAGTCTTACTTAGGTTTCTGTTGCTGTGATATAAAACACTCTGGTTGCCAGGCGTTGGTGGCTCACGCCTTTAATTCCAGCACTCGGGAGGCAGAGCCAGGTGGATCTCTGTGAGTTCGAGGCCAGCCTGGGCTACCAAGTGAGCTCCAGGAAAGGCGCAAAGCTA